TGTGTGTGTGTGTGTGTGTGTGTGTGTGTGTGTGTGTGTGTGTGTGTGAAATCTCCCTGTGCCCCTCTCTTACAAGGACACTCATGGTGGCATTTAGGACCCACCCAGATAATCTAAGATAATCTCCCCATCTCAAGCTCCTTAAGTTTATCATATCTATAGAGACGATTTTTCCAAGTAAAGTAACATTTACAGGTTCCAAGGATTAGCACCTGATCTCTTTGGGGGTCATTATCAGCCCACCACAGCGTGAGGTAATATCTCCCATCTTCAAAACAATTTTCATTGAGCTCAGAGTCTCTCCTTTCCTTTAGAGCAAAACTCCTTGAAAGGGGAGTCCATAATCACTTCCTCTTCTTTCTTTAACTCACCAGCACTCCAATGGATCTGCCCTTGGTCACGGTTGCCATTGACCTCTCTGTCCCCTCGTCCGTTCTCAGTGGTCATCATGCTTGATGGGCCAGTAGCAGCTGACACAGTTGATGCTGTCCTCTTGCTTGAAACACTTTTGTTCACCTGGCCTCTGGAACGGCCCCCATGCTTGCTTCTCCTCCTCCTTCAGTGACTTCTCCCCAGTCTTCGTTTGCTGGTCGCTTCTCATTTTCCTTTTAACCTTGAAGTGCATCAGTCTCAGACACCTACCGAGGGGACCCCATCCTGCCCCTTTTATATGGATGCTCACTGTTTGCCCTTGGATGTACACTTGCCATCTCAAACTCAACCAGTCCACACTGAACTCTCGATTTCTTCCCCAAACCTACTCCCCCTTCTGTCTTTTCCAGATCAGGAAATGGCAATTTCATTCTTCCAGTTACTTTTGAAACTGCCAACAAATCTTAATGGCTTTATCTTTGAAATATATCCGGACTCTCACCTACGGTATGACTGTCACTCTGTTCCAAGATAACACCATCTCTTGCCTGAATTATTGCCATAGTCTACTAAGTGGTCTCATGGCCTCCACCCAACGTAGCCCCTCTCCCTGCCCCAGTGTATTTGTCACACAGTAGTTAAAATGATTCTTTCAAAAATTACGTCAGCCTCAATTCCTCTGCTCAGAATTCTCCAGTTAAGGTACACATAGGGAATGTAGTCGATGGTATTGTAATAGCCTCCTAGGGTGACAGATGGCAGCTACATCTGTGGTGAGCACAGGGTAACATATAGACCTGTCGGGTCACTACGTTGTACACCTGAAACTAATGTGACATGATCATGTGTCAAGTATACTTCAATTTAAAAAAATGTACTGCAGGATACATATGATGACAATAAACGCTATGGTTTTTATTTTAAAAAATTCTCCAATTGCTTGCTTATTCAGAGTAAAATCCAAAGTCTTACAGTTGCCTCTAAGGTCTCTTACGATCAGGCCCCGTTACCCGTCAGACTTCACCCTCCTCTACTCTGTCCTCCAGTCACACAAGACTCTCTGCTGCTCCTCGTCCACGCTCAGCACGCTCACGCCTTGGGACCCTTGTACATGTTCTTCTTTTCTGCCTGGTGTCTGCAGTTTGATTCTGCATGGTGTGATCCACTTCTTCTTTTGGGTCTCTGCTCAACTATCACTTTGGTGGCGAGGCCTTCTCTGTAGAAATAAAAAGTCCCCTGTCAACACTATCCATCCCTCCTGCCTTCTTTTATTTTTCTTTATATCACTTGGCAATCACCTGGCATAGGCTTACCTCTTTCCTATCTGTCTTAATCTTAAGTTCTATGAGAACAGGTTTAAACTTTATTTACAGCTGAATCCTAATGCCTGGAGCTGTGCCTCGTACTTAGTTGGTGTTTAATAAATGTTTGTTGAATGAATGGATGGACGAATTAATATATGGGCGCTACAAATAAAAGGTACAGGGTGCTGGGAAGGAAGTATGGGTTCTGGGGACAGCCCGGGAATACCTCCCTGAGGAAAGGATATGTATGTTGGAACATAAGGGGGATGAGGGAATGCAGAAGGCATTGCAGTCAGATGGTACAATATGTGCAAAGGCCCTGTGGCTGAAGGGACCATGATGAATTCATGGAACTGAAAGAAGGCCACGATGACTGGAGCTCAGAGAATGAGGGAGGGTGGTAATGCCAGAAGCATCGGGAGATACAGGCAAGGATCAGGCCATGAAGAGCCTTGGAAGCTGAGTTAAGACTTAGGTCTTTAATGGGAGAGTAATAAGCTATTGAACACAAAAACTTGTACCTGAACGTTCATAGCAGCACTAAGCATAATAGCCCAGATGTCCATCAACTGATGATTGATAAATGAAATGTGGTCCATTCAGAAAATGTGACTTAGTCATAAAAAGGAGTAAACCACTGATACATGCTATAGCATATATGAACCTTGAAATGTGATACTAAGTGAAGGAAGCCCGACACAAAATGCCATATATTATAAGGTTCCATTCAGATAAAATGTCTAGAATAGGCAAGTCCATAGAGACAGAATGTAGATTACTGGTTTTCAGGAGCAGAGAGAATGGGGGAAATGAAGAGTGACTGTCAGTGGTTATGGAGCTGCTTTTTGGGGTTAATGCAGATGTTCCAGAATTAGATAATAGTAGTGGTTACATAACTTTGTAAATGTATGGAAGCCACTGAATTGTACACCTTGAAATGGTAAATATTATACTATGTGAATTATATCTCAATTTAAAAAGAAGCTATTAAGAGGTTTAATTGAGGGTGGAGGGTGGCCTCATTTGCTATGACCAGATTTATATTTTGAAATTGACTGTTTTAGCTTCAGTGCTGAGAATGGATTAGGTGTTGGGGGTTGGGGCACTAAGAGAAGATCAGAGACACCAGTGAGGAGCATTTGTAACAGTCCAGAGACGGAGACAGAGTTAAAACCTACCAGATTTGTTAATGCGCTGGATTTTAGGGATGAGAGAGAGAGAAGTCAAGGACATCTCCTGCTTGCCAAGATTGCCTACAGCTTTAGCAGACTCCAAGCACAGTAATTTGGTACATATCTTAATAAATGGTACTCATAATTTCAAAAAATCAACTTATACTGGAAAATTCTATATACATTTTAATTATTATAACTAATCATGATATACTTGCCTTTATGATATGGATGAGAATGTGATTTTGGAAAATTAACGTTTACCTTGTATGAGCTTGTGAGAGACTTTAGAAATGCACACATTACCATCTTCTTTCCTCAAGATAGTGTTTGAATGTGGATCACTACATCAAAAACTAATGATGTATGATGACTAACATAACATAAAAAAAAAAGATAGTGTTTGAAATCTACTTGGATTCATGGTGTCTCATCTTATAAGTCTTTGATGATCTCATTATCCCTAGTCCCAAGAAGACTCCCGTGTCACATCCAGGTCAATGGCTTTATGAAGAAAAGAAGCCAAGCAAAACAGATTTGCTCCATGAAGATGGTCCTCTTTGTTATGAAAATGTGCGCAAAGGAGTTAGGGACTTCTGCAACTGGGCTACTACTTTTGTAAGTTAGTAGTCATACTTACAACCTACTTTTTAAAGTCAAGCTCAGAGTTGCTATTATTAAAAAATAATGTTAGGATATGATCTAAGTCAAATAAAGTCATAAAGGAATTATGATTCTTCCACCATTTATGATTACAAATGTTTCCTGTAGATGATGTTTCTGGAAAGTTTGCAAGCTTGCAGCCTATTTGAGTGTTTATTGTTTATATGTCACATTGCTGTTTCTTTCTTTCTTTTTAGTGGCTCTTTTTCTTTGCCAGCTTTATTGAGATATAACTGACATAACATCATGTAAGCTTGAGGTGTACAATGTGATAATTCAATACATACATATATATGTATATACATATATATATATATATGTATATTGCAAAATGATTGCTGCAATAGGATTAGTTAACACATCCATCACCTCACATAATTACCTTTTTTGAGTGTGGTGAGAACACTTAAGATCTACTCCCTTAGCAACTTTCAAGTATAAATACAATTTTATTAACTATAATCACCATGCTGTACATTAGATTCCCAGAACTTACTCATCCTATAACTGAAAGTTTATATATTTTGGCCAATAACTACTCATTTCCACCACCTTGTTGTTTCACATTTTTATTTTCCATTTCAATGTCCTTTTTTTTCTGTGTCCTTCACTCCTTCAATTCATTTTTCTCAGTTATATTTATCTGTAAGTACTCAGGCAACTATGTTTAACCACAACCTTCACAAAAGGTATTTCTGACATGAGTAGACTTTTGTTAGTTCTTAAAATCTTTCCTTGCCCTCCTTTCAAGAACCTATTTAAATACCTATTTGTGTTCTCGAGTCTCTGTAGGTGTCTAATTCCTTAGGTTTTTCCTGGATTTAAGACCCACTAGGATTTGTAATCTTCCTCCCCCATTTTTTGAAAACATTAGTCAGTTCTGTCCAATGTATTATTTAGGACTATTTCATTGGAAAGTGACCGAACTATAATTCAGACTAGATTAAGGGAGGTAAGGGAACGATCCAGAGGTCCTAGGAACCTCAGGTATAGCTAGATCTAGGTGTTAAAATGTTGTTTTGTGTTCTCTCTGTCTCTTGGCTGCTCTTCTCTATCTGAATCCACTTATCTGACTCCAGTTTCAGGTGTGCAACATGGTGATTTTCCAATTCTATACATTATGCTATGTTCACTGTAAGTGTAGTTACTATCTGTCACTATTTAACACTATTACAATACCATTGATTGTATTCCTATGGTGTACCTTTTATCCCCATGACTTATTTATTCCATAACTAGAAACCTTTACCTCCCACTCCCCTTCACCCATTGCACTCATTCCCCCACCCCTCTCCCTTCTGACAACCACCAGTTTGTTCTCTATTTATGAATGTTTCTGTTTTCTTGTTTGTTTGTTCATTTGTTTTGTTTTTTAGATTCCACATATAGGTGAAGTCATGTGGTATTTGTCTTTCTCTGTCTTATTTCATTTAGCACAATACCCTTTGGTCTATCCATGTTGTCACAAATGGCAAGACCTCATTCTTTTTTATGGCTGAGTAATATCCCAGTGTGTGTGTGTGTGTGTGTGTGTGTGTGTGTGTGTGTGTGTGTGTG